GCGAAACCGATCAAAGTGAAGTTTAACTCTGATTTGGCTGATTGCTTAGCAAAGCTAGGCACCATGAAAAGAAAATAATTGCTTCAGATGGTGTCAACCGTCAGCAAATTTCAATTTCAAAGCCTGTGCTCTAGCCACTGCTGAAGAGAGATAATATGATCCAGTAGGAAGATTTTTTAGGGGAGACTATCTTTGCTGTTCCCTGATTCCATGATATTCCCTCCTAAAATGTCGTTTCTAAGGTATTGCGACTACCCAGGCTATTGGGACAGAGAATAGGGTGCCTGCCCACCCTCTCCAAATGGATATTTTCTTGTTATAGCTAGCTTTGCAGAGGAGGCAATATGTAGAAATTCTGATCAGAGCTGGAACCTGTACTACCACCAAAATGCATCCTTCTTGCAAAGATGCAGCCTTGCTATCTCTTATCAGCCGACTCGCAGAGGTCGAAGCAGAATGACCACGTGATGCTATGATGTTCTCTCCAACAGGTTACCGGACCTTCTCAACATTAAATACAAACCAACTTCCAGCCTGGTGTGGTTTAGTACGAGTTCAAAGAAGGTTCAGGAAGCTTCTGCATAATTTTGTGTTACCTTGTATGCGATTTCACTAATTGGTATTTACTTTTTACCTTGATGGGGAATTTATTGCTACTTAAGTCTAATTCAGCAGAGTCCGCGAAAATGACTGATGTGCCTTGTCCATTGAATACAAATGGAGCCATGATAGTTTCATATTTTTCCTGAATTTATGAGCATAACTGTTAAAGAAAAAGAAATAACGTTTTGCAGATGAGGATGAAACATTGCTCGCCTGTTTTTTTTTGCAAAAAACCCTTCTAAGTTGCTTGCTTACGCAATTTATTGAGTCTTCGTGCTCACCACGCCACCTTAACGTGGTGGCCTTACACTCACGCCAATTCTGCTTACAGCCAACCAGCCCTTTCGGCCTCACACATCTCACAACGTCATTTGGCAGAACTCGTGGCCTCCACTTCCTTCCTCCAGAAACAAGGCAATTAATTTAATGTCAAAATACCGTGATTAAACAAACAAGTGGGTCATAAGTTTTCCTTTTACTACAATTTGACAATTTGCACTAAATATTGCAAATAATGCTTCTCTAAAACTTGCATCTTGTATAAATAGTTCAGTTTCTGCCTATGATATTCCCATATACAGCTATCCTCAGGGTAGTTTAAGATTGCCACATTTTTTGCTTGCACAAAAATTATCACGCATTCTTTTAAATCTCTCAAGAAGCTATGAGCTTTTGAGAAAACGGTGCTATGCAAAAAAATAATTTCTGAGTTTTTTTGTTAAGGTTGGTTAAAAATCATCCCCTGTGGTTCAAAAAATATTGTGGGCATGTAATTTCTTATCTGGAGATCGTAGAGAAGTTTGAAGACTTTGTCTTTTACTTGATTACACCTACTTACCTCAGTGATTGTTGTTAGCTGACTGTAAACTTCACTGATATCCAGAACTCGTGTCAATCTGTACCATGGTTTAAAAATCCTCGTGCGCATTTGACTAGCGTCACACATGTGTGACCATACGTAAATAATTAAAATAGTAGTAATTATTTGTAAGAAAAGAAATTTGTACCCATTTTGACTAATAAAACATTTGCGTGGTTAGCAGAGTTAATTTTCCTTGGTAATCAGTGGTGTTGGGGGAGCCCCCTACTCTGCCCTACGTACATAAATCTCTCACTGTGATTGCATATGCAGGCATTCTTAATACTATAAAATGATTGCGTAGTCGTAAGTAATTAATTATTTTTGTTGATAATCCCACTAACTTCTGAATCCACTAGAACTCAAACTTTCTGCACGAAATATGATAAGGAATGCAAAAGGTGGGAAAGTAGGTGTGCATGCACATACGCACACACACACACGCGCACTCACACATGGAAGCCACAAAATAATGCGACCTCCTCAATTCGATTGACGAAATGCTTCTAACGCTTCCCTCGTTGAAATCATTTAGTTTTCAGAAATGCCTGGTGAATCCCATAGTCCCTGCTGGAGGTGGACTCTAAGGCATCGTGCAAGAAACCTTCTAGCCAAGGACGCCTTTAAACGTTTTGCTGTATTTTTTTCCCACCTCTAGCCTCCCCATTTGAATACTTTGAGAGTCCATTTTTTTAATGGGAAGGAAAAAAATTAAAGGTTTAAAAATATCTGGCTTTAGAAGTCGCAACAATTGAAGAGCGCTCTTTTCTGAATTTTCTTTTTTTGCTCATTTTTTAAGCGTTTTCTTCCTTAAAACTATTTTTAATTAATCACTGAAGATTTATTGTTACAAAAACGTGGTATGACGGCATTACTTAATGCAAATGAAAGTAAAGAAAGAGAGACAGAGGGAAAAGTTGAGTTGTGACAGATTTGGAAAGGTGCAAGCTCAGCTGATTCATTTTTGCAATTATTTAAGCTCCTTTTTTATGGCTCCAATGCATACGATCATGGAAATTAGCTTTTTATTGAAAAGCTTTTTAAGGGTAATAAATTCATATTTTGTGATTTACTTTCCGTTTATTCAACTATTAAATTGGCAGAAAAGTGAATAAATCAATTTAATAGGAGACCAATTACCATACAAATTACATGATTGTAAAAATTTTCCCCTTTAATTAGCTACTTGTCTACTCTATGGCCCTGTGAAGTCATAAAAATTTTAAGGCATTGTGAAAACAGATACTACTTATTAACGTACTACTAAAATGGCTTAAAGACCATGACACGGAGGGAAAAGTACCGTCTGTTCAGATTCGTGTCCACGTCGTTTAACACATAGTAAACAAAGAAATAAGTGAAAAACAAATAAGGAAGTTATTCGTTTGGAGCCCACGATTGTAACTTTTCAGTGGAACATAATATTTTAAGCGGACCTTTTAGACACTGCTGTAATTACTTTATTATTTGGTGCTAAGGAAAAATGAAGAAGAGAATGAGGGTAGAAATGTGGTAGTATTCCCTTTCACCCTATCTTAAAATGCGACTCTCTCATACGTCTGTCTTGTGGTAGGTAATGTGAGAAGACTACTTGTCTTGTGGATATGGAACTCTCTACCATTCCACTAACTT